CAGTAGCCCTTTACAACCTGTCTTGTAGATTATGTATATATATATATATATATATTGCTTTCACTATGCGTCTCGGCACACACACTATTGAGCCAATGTCCATATTTGTGTAGCCTTATAAGTTATCTCAATGCAGGGTCATCAAGAATTAATGTCGTTATTTTGAACAGCTTTATACAAGTAAAGAAGTATCTTTACTCGTGTGGCGTCTTAAAATGTTAAGAAAAGTTTAAAGTTGTATATGATCTTCTGTGACCTTAAAATGGCACTGAGAAAGTAAAGAAAATCTAGTCACTTAAAGAGATGGTCGCTACAGCAACTACAACAGTAACTCTGTAAACAATTCCGGAGACGTAGCAGAAGAATGAAAAAGACTTACAAATGAAGTGCCTAAAACTTTTCTGAACGTTTTTAATGACAGTTTAAAATCCCAGCAAACCTTCTCAAAGACCTATTACAGTGGCTCGGCGACTTACGGACCTAATTTGTTGCTGATTCAGGTTCGTACATTGAAACTCCATTTTCTCTATCTTTCTCTCTCTCTCTCTCTCTCTCTCTCTCTCTCTCTCTCTCTCTCTCTCTCTCTCTCTCTCTCTCTTTCTCTCTCTCTCTCTCTCCTCTCTCCCCCCTCTCTCTCTCTCTATCTCTCTATCTATCTCTCTATCTCTCTCTCTTTATCTCTCTCTCTCTCTCTCTGTGTGTGTGTGTGTGTGTATCCCACCAGAACATAGCAGAAGCGATAAACACCCGGTGACACAGAGTGCCACCATGGAAATGTGGATCACCCATGGAGAGGTCCCAGAAACCCCTTTCAGCCGTTAGGCCATATTTATAGACCAACCATATTTAGGAACACCGACAAAAGCCAGAGTGGGACTTCAAATAACAACAAATTGCATTCCACATGGGGACGACTGCTGTTACGACCAAATTTCCCCTTAGATCTTAAGGGTGGGTAATCAATGAATCCATTCTCAGATGGTCATCCTCTGCTAACTTTGATCTCTTCACTGATGTCTTTGCTAATGATAGTAGATAGCAAGTTTTTTGTAAATAGATGTGAGCTTTTAAAATGACCATATTTTGAGATACATCGTCTGCTTTCAATCGAATAAGATTAATCCAGATTAGTAAACTGTCCCTTTCTTCCATAACTGTATTTCTTTGAGATGATACGATACTACTTTGGCCAAGCCCAGTTTCTTATAAAAATCTGCTTTCTTGAGAACTGTAGGTACGGTGGACGTAGACAAGCTATACTGCTTGCATAGATCATTTTTCCTGACTCCTTCCTCATATTTTCACCATTTTTTCCTACTAATTTCTATTGTGATTTTCTTCTTCTCTTCTTTATTAGTTTTCTCCTCTCCTATATTGGAAATAATATACCATGTCCAGATAATAATTTCACTTGTTTATCCGTAACGCCGCCTGCAAGTATGTAAATAAACTGTATTGATTGATTACAAAAATACCGAAATATGTTCACACAAAAAGGCAAATACGGATGTGCAGCATGCTACGCAAACACTACTCGTGGTATCGTATTCCAGATAAATGCGACGTAGCGATAAACAGATGGGTGAACAAATTATGCACAGAGCATCTTGAGTCATATCTCGAATCTGGGTTCGTATGTCAATGTTAAAATGAGATGTGAAAGAAAAGTTTGTGTCTCGAAATGTTCGCGTGCAAAGCTGTTTGTTTGTAAGTACCACTAAACGCATAATGACAATACCTTAATGATTCGAATCCAGTCTTTATACAAAATATGCTTAACATTAACTTAACTTTAAGTACCCTTTTCCACGCCTTTAGGCGTATAGGGCATATAGGGCTAGACCTATATTCCATAGACCGATCGGCACAAGATGGGTGATATTGTCAGCATCACGTCAGCCGCCTTTACTTCCCGGGACTGCACTCGGTACCTATTCGAGGCTTGGTCGACCTGGAAGCCAAGGGCATTTTTTTAAAACAGCCCGGCTCCACCAGGGAGCGAACCCATGACCTTCCGATCCGCAATGACATGCTAGATAGCCGAAAAACTATTTAAAAAAGAATATATGTATGTATATATATTCAATGTGTTAACTGCACAACTGGTGGATTGTTTCTCGTTCTCAGCTCCTGTTGGTGTAGCAACAGATAAGAATCAGCAAACATAGTTTTAAAAACCAAGTGGTGAAGAAAAACAACCCGTCTCTTTAAAGCAAATTTCTCTCTTTGCAGTTAAGGCGTCGTCCACTCAGTGGGGATAAGTGTTAAACATATCATCACTCCTATTTTTAAAATACACTATAATCATCATCATCTTTTAAAATCTCGATCTCACACACGCTCTGTTTTTCATCTTCCTTGAGCCATCATTCGTTAGGCAATAGCTTTTATGATTTCCGTATTTCATATTTGCCGTATATCTTTTTTTCCAGATAAAATATTTTTTGAAGTTGCAGTATATGATGGTTATTAATTTATTTTTGCTAAAAAAGACTTTGGTCAAAAAGTTAGGTTGTATCTGTTCGCTTCCGTTGCCATTCTCTTTCTTTTTTCGATCTTCCTTGTCACAGTTTTTGTTATGTTTTTGTATGTTTTCAATAAAGGGGAATTCGATGCAGCATCTTAAATCTGATTTAATACTGCATTTTGAACCTGATTTTCATTCTGCATCTAAACCCTGATTTAATACTGTATTTTGCACCTGGTAATAATACTATATTAATAACCTGGTTATAATAGTGTATCATGAACCTGATTATAATAGTGCATCTTGAACCTCATTTTGACAGTGCATTGTAAATCTGAGATGCTGCATCTCCAACCTGTTTATGATACCTCGCGTTTAACCTGATTTTGATATTGCAATGTGAATCTAAATTAGCTACTGTATCTTGAACATGACAATGAACCTGATCTTTTAACTATATCTAACTGTAACTTTGATACTGGTGAGATAAAACTGATGTTAAATTCTGTAGCTTAGAGCTTGACTGACGTTTCCATAAAGTAAAACAAATCAATAGACCTAATATAGAAAGATCCAGACGTGAGAAAATACTTGCTATTGCAAAGATTAAAATCAAATGACAACCTTTGATTCACATGGCCAAAATTAATTCCACGTTTGTTGTTTTTCTGGTGCAAGCAATTCCACTGGTTAAATTTTACAAGCAAACAAGAAGAAACGTGACCCAAATTAACAAATGTTATCTTCCAAGCGGATAAACTCTCTCGGCAACAAACAAAATGTCCTATCAAATTTTTACCTTGAAATTTCCCAATCACTGCATAATTTTTTTTTTTTTTTTACATTTCTCTCGTTACCACAACAAAAATACAACCAAAACATTACTGTCTGTTTTCGTTAAATTATTACCATATGTTGTGTGCCGTTAGTTTTCACATAGGTCTCGCATTCTATTTCTCCACTCCGCTCTATTTCATGCAACTTTCTTGATTTCTGACATGGAGTTCAGACCAGCATTTTTTGCTCCTCGTTTCAATGTTCTTCTTAGTATTTCCCTTGGATGCCCTCTTTTTCTCAGACAATTTGTTTCCCATTTCAGTGCTTGTTTGAAATTCTTTGCCCGTTTTGTCCCAGTGTGCCCAATATATCTTCACCATCTACGCCTTATCGCAGTCGATACAGGTATTTGTCCAGACATTTCTCTGATCTCCTCGTTGTTGTTGAATTCATCCCATTTAATATTTAATGTTGTCTTAAGTATGACTTCACTGTTATTTGTAATTCACTCAGCGATCCGTAAAGTTTGACTTGCACTTGTTTTTCTTGGCCTAAAGTTTTGCCTTGATATGTTGTTTATGGGAGAATCAAAGAAATGAATTGTGACTAAATGTACAATTGAAATCAAATTTAATTTTTTTATTTGCTTTATACAATATTATTGTACTATTTGCACACCTGAACAAAACTGTTTTTTTTTTTTTTTTTAATGATACATATTATTATTTTGTTGTTGTTGTCAAAAATGACACTACTGCATTGCATTTCGTTCTTTTCACTAGAATTGTATGTCACTATTATCGTAGTCGAAGTTTCAACTTCATTGCGATCTGCTCACTCCATACTTTACCTATCCTTAAGCCAGTGAAAACCAAATGAAATAACCAAAAATGTTTTCACTGTCACGCTTAAAAAAAAAAAAAAAACAGCAAAAACATCTGGTGAACAAACAATTAGTCTCGACACCATCCAGAAATATGTGAACGCAGAAACGTGCAAAGCAGTTTATAAATGAGCCAAATCCCACAGTCCCCACCAGAAATAGTTTGTCGTTGATAGAAGTAGTCGGTCACGATAAGATGGCAATACACACGTAAAATTATTCTTTAAGCTATTATGTCAGCCTATTTCCGACCACATTGAATGCCACGACTCAACCGCTGCACAAATAAAAGTAATTTAACATTAAACATACAGCTCACAGTGCCACAACAAGCAGTTAACTCAGTAGCTTAGGCAGCGAAACCATAATCTTCTGTCCGTATGTGGAAACTTCGTAACCAAAGCTCTGACAGAAGCAAAAATAACTTTGAAGCTGCTAGTCTCCCATATTGGGCGGGAATATGTTTTAAAGTTTGCAAAGTGTTTCTATACTATTTATTTGTACTTTTTAATGTCATATCTCGGTAGTAACAACATGGCTGTCTGAAACTTCCGGTCGGGACTAGAGTAACTAGACAATATTTTGTAATTTGTATATTCCAGTGGAATTGATAAATTTTCGTGTTTCCCAGTATGTTGCTGTAACATGTCAGTAATGACCTAATAAGATTCATCAAACTGTATCAGACAATACACTGCCCAATATACTATTTATGTTTGCATTATTTTAATACTGTTTATTCACAACTGTACCACTAGATAATGAAGGTTCATTTTTCCTGCAAGGCATTTTACAGTGCGTTTCAAAAGTCGTGCCCTTAAACATAAATAAATACACTCAGACGTATAATACACATGAACAACACAGCCGCACCTACCATAAGTGGCACCCAGCAAACGGCGAAGATTGTTGTAATTGCACACATGACGACAATCATCTGTAACTCCATATCTTTCTGCTTCCGTCTCCGCAAGATTGCCTATAGAATAAATAGTACATTGGTTAGTATATTCGTGAACACTGGAGGACAGAAGAAGACCAAGAGAGACGAGTTTCGGTATTTCGGCACAATGGTGTCGAAGGACATATGCATCATGGGTCACGCAAAACAAGTAATGAAACTTTACATCTCGGATAAGCAAATCATGATGAAAGCAGGTGATGTTTCAGAAAAGCACGCTGGCTAAGATAAAACTAATCTTGGTGTCGTGTGGTGAGCAGCCAACCCTACACAATGGACGAGTCGTGACTTTGACTTCCCTCGCGCTCAGTAAAATTTAAAACTTAAACCCGTCCGGAAGGGTATATAGTCCCTTATATTGATATATACCTTTATCTGGTAATATATTCATTTCCAGACCCTCTAGTTGCTTTGATAAATCTTTATTTTCAAACTTGCAACTGTAGGTTGACGATCACTGGTAATTATTGTTTTTTAGAAATTCCTGTAAACCGGTTTACTGCTTGGGCAGGAATACAGGGGACTTCTTTCCTGGAGACGCTATATTTGATTTTGAAAAAACATTCTTTCGCCTGATCCCAAAGTGTCAAGACGTGTATACAGTCTATGTAGAAATTGGAGCATTCAAAGTTCCATTTCTATCTTGGAAGATTTCCTAAGCTTGGGATGATACCTCCTTAGAGATCAGGCAGACGAATCACAGTCCAGCCAACAACCGCCAACCTATACCATTCTGTGCACCAAGCAGATCCAAAAGTCCTATATACTGTGCCACTACTTCAACATGGCAAGAGCTTGTTTGTGAGTTCCAGAACCAGTGGACAATTGCAGACACCTATGTCATCAATCCAGAGAACCAGTCTTCAAGAGTTTTGTTGGGCTCTTATGCATTTATTGTGTCATTACCTGTGAGACTGGCAGCGGGCATCACAGTCTCCAAGAGCTTTGGTGGGCTCCTATGCAGTTCCTGTGTCCTCGCTCATGACAGTCAGCTTGTACCAGATCAAATCAAAGCCCAACTACTGATTGAGTCAACTACAGTCGAATCACCATGAACTGAGGGGAGCATTGACCTACGAGCTGGGCTAAGTGATCTATTATTCACATTTCATGCTCTCTTTCAACAGCACCTTATAAGTCCGATGATGAACTCATGTACACCTCAAGGCTAAATCTGGCTTCTTCAATATCTGGGTTGTTAATTGTTTCCTGAGCTCCATTCACTGACTCTTGTTTATCGATTCATTATTATATGTATATATTGTACTGATTACATGCACACATTTTCATGGCTGACTTGGGTATCCCTATTTCACCATTCTGACTGTCTAGCTTTGATGTTTGTGTGAGTAATAAGTGTTATTTGTGTTAACATGGCTATGATAGTAGACTATCATAACCTGGGGGCTATCTTTTTATAGTAGTGGGGATGTCCAGCCAAGTGTGCCTAGGAATAATATATATTTTGTAGTGCCAAACCTTGAGTTGCCCTACTCCTGAAATAATTTGAGCGTATATTGGCCACGGGGCATCCCTTTAGAACAATACGAGCCAACGACTCAACATAATTATTTCAGAGTGATGTTGGTTCTTAAGGAGAAATCCTTAAATCAGGCACGCGACAGGAGCGATATGTAACACTTGGTAATGTGTCTTGTATGTGTGTTTTAAGTATTTCATTGTCAAAATATCCATACCAATTGCTCACTGTACGGTCAACTCTCGGTTTCACTGTCGAAGCCAAAGCAAGACAAATCGTCGGTTGTTGGGATTGAACTCGGCATCCCGGCATTACAAAGCGCGTTCGCAACGCATAAGTCACAGATGCCGACAGGTGATAATTTTTTTTAAAGACATAGGTAGGTAAGTTGTACCCCACCAGGATATCACACAAATAACACCCGCTGCCACAAAGTGCCACCATGCGGATGAGGCTTACCCGTGGAGAGGTCCTGAAAACCCTATTTAGGCGTTAGGCCATATTTCGCTGGTTTAAAATCTACCAAAAATGTTTCAAGATCCTCGCTGGTGCTATAGAGTTCGTGCACTGCCATGAGATTCTTCGGACTCAAACTTGAGATAGAAGTAAAACGGAGCACATATGGATTTCTACCCTCGTGCGATGATGTTAATCTTTCATCTAAACATTCACAGCATTGAAAATCGCTACTTGGTAATTTTCTCAACCGTTTAAGACATTAGCATATTCTTGTATTCAACTGAGTTCGCCTTTTCACTATGTTGTGAGCCAGTGCGTAAAGACATGACAATTCTTATTTCACGCAACACATCAGTATGTACACAAAGCCGGGTCATCTTTGTCAAACATTGCACGAAACACCTTCCAGCTGTATGCATGTGTGGAATAACTTCGATTTCTACAGCGTGTGGCCCAGTTTAATGATCATTTCATCAAACCAGTCCCAGAGCGAGTCATTATGTCGTTGAACGAGGCTGAGAATGAAAGCGCCTATCATTTCTTAGCCCTTAATTAGCAAATCAACTTTTATCCAGTTCGTGCAGAATATAGAGTGATCACATGTTTGTAAACTTTCAGCCTTCTTGATTGTTCAGAAAAATGTTTATAAAAATCAGGTTTCAGCTGTGCTTTAGTGATGACATGGAAACCATTAAAGTATACTTCTAATCTTCAAATTGTGTGTTTGTGTGTGTGAGTGTGTGTGTGTGTGTGTGTGTGTGAAAGAGAGAGAGAGATAGAAAGAGATTCAATAGTGTGTGAGATTAGCTGGATTAGATAAGACGACAGATGCAGATTAGTTTAAAGGTCTTGATGCCATGATGTTATGGACTAAGCTACGCCTGGTTTGGGCATCTGCTCTGAATGAATCCCAACCAACCTGCAGCGCCAGCGTATTTCATGAGGACGTGGAAATACAGAGCAAGACGATGGCTGGAAACAAGTTTGGCTGGATGGAGGAAGAGACAACAAGCAATTAGGAAACGGAATCGAGGCTCCAGGGGTGTGATTAGGGAAAAAATGCTACATATTTTCGAAAGACAATCAAGTACACCAGTTAAAATAGACTAGGTGTGAAAAAAGAACCGATTCTAAAACAAATAATATACAAGAGAAGCCAATAACGTCAGCTATATTGAAAGACAGGATATTTCTTTTGAAAACCACACTGAAAGAAAACAGCAAAAAATTGACTGAAATGCACATGTTGAAATAAAGTCAAGAGATATAGACTGAAGTGCATCATTGATGATAAAGCCAAGAGATTTAGACTGAAATGCATGTGTGGGGATTAAGTCAAGAGATATAGACTGAAATGCATGTGTGGGGATTAAGTCAAGAGATATAGACTGAAATGCATGTATGGGGATTAAGTCAAGAGATATAGACTGCATCACACGGGTGGAAATAAAGTCAACAGATACAGACCCAAATACACTAGTGGAAATAAAGTCAAGAGATACAGACCAAAATACACGAGTGGAAATAAAGTCAAGAGATACAGACCCAAAGACACGAGTGGAAATAAAATCAAGAGATACAGACCCAAATACACGAGTGGAGACAACAGTCAAGAGATACAGACCCAAATACACCAGTGGAGACAACAGTCAAGAGATGGACTGGAAGCAGTCTGTCAGTGTACAACCAGGGCAAGAGACAGAAAGAGATAGTGTTCCATTGCAGCCTGCCTTCCTTGTGAAGGCGGCCATTGTTTGACGTGTTTCATTTAGTGAATTTGGCGTCAGTACAAATTTTTTTAATATGTCGAAAATTATTATTAATTTATTAGTAGCCTCTGAGAAAAAAAAAGTCGAAAACTGCAACAACTGCACACTATATCCTACCGCCTATCCTTTTTAACAGAATAACAGATCAAGCAGAGTAACGCTTGAGACAATAAAGATCAATTTACTTATTTAGTAGCAATTTTGATAATCAATGAAATACAAGGAATGGAATTATGACATTTACTGGCCAAGACAATCAATAAATTAATGTTTTTTCTAGAGAGATATGTGAAACCGATATTAGTAAACGATATTAGTAGACTAGCATATAACGATAGAAAGCAACATTAACTCGACATATAAGGATTGAACTCGGTCCGAATATCCAAACAGCGAACTAGATACTAGATCGCCGCGATTCGTTAAGGCAAGTACGTGATCTTTGCTCATGTATACATTTGTATAGTCGATGTTTGAAAATAACAACAACCACAATGCATAAATAATCATTCCATTACTTCCACAGATATGAAAATGTATACCTTATACAAAATATCTATTCTGGCGTATTAGTAGCAAAGGCAAGAGAAGACACTGTGTACGCCTGTAACCCATAAGACATACAGTACTAGTCTCAAATATTTCATAGATCAGTCCGAACATAATGGGTGATGTCGACAGTCTTTACTTGCCAAGACTTTACCTGGTACCCATTTCAAGCTAAGTCGACCTGAGGAAACCAAAGGACACCTGGATGCAGATTCGAGCCCCAAAAAATAGTTCAGTATCATGTGATCGTCTAGTCACAGCAATAAATGTGGATTTTCTGGTGAATTGCACATTGCTAATCCCCTATTTTGAAAGAAGTTATCCCTTAGAGCAGTGTTTCCCAAACTTGTCTTTGCCACGGCCCTTTTACTCAATGAAATGTTTTCCACGCGCCCTAACCTGTGTAAAAGTATGACTGTTCGTGTCTTGGTTAAATTAATAATGAAGCTTTTACAATATTTTGCGGCGCCCGTGTGAAGAGGTCGCGCCCCCCCCCCCCTTCCTGGGTGCTACGGCACACAGTTAAGGAATCACTGCCTTAGAGAGAAAGGAATTAAATCGTTCCAATAATTTAACTGGCTAGAGAGCAACTTGATGTTTATCGGAAATAAGTCAGTTAAGTGATTTTTGTTTATTCCTGTTTGTACTTGTAATAGTGTAGATCTGTTTAATGTGCTGCTGAAAGCTCCTTAGCCGTTATGTTTATCTGTCGTTATGTTTGTGATATTGTAAAGCTGAATGGTTCTGTTTTATGTTTGGGT